GGTTAATTTATTACTGATTTCTAAGTAATTTAATTGCATAATTGTCAAAGAAAATAATTTGTTTTTGTACTAATTGCTTTGTGACCTAATTCTTGGTCAATATTTTTTTAGTGTTCCTTATTGACTTAGTCAGTTTTCAAGCCATTATGAAAACAGACCTACTCAATAAGAAACACTAATTTCTTTGTTCACTATTCTCTTATTTGTGTGTGTGTGTGTGTGTGCCTTCCTGCTGAATTAAATTTTCTTGTCCTCTAAAGGAATTTTATTGCTAGAAGTTTATAAGTGGTGAATTAAATTTGTTCTGAATTATCTTTATTTTACCCTCACTTTTAAATGATAATTTTCTAAGTATAAAATTCTAAATTGGAATTTATTTTCTCTAGTACTTTTGAAGACATTTTTACAAAGTTTTCTATTTATTTTTCTTTGGAAATAATCTGCCTTTTTATCTCTGCTTACATTTAAAAAATTTTTTTAATGGCTCTGCAGTGTTAATTCACATGTATCTGGCAGTGGATTTATTTTTGTTTCCTTCCTGGGGACTTTCTGAGATTTCTGAATCTGAGGACTTTTATCTTTTATAAGTTATGAAAAATCTTTGGATGTTATTTTGTCAAAAGTTGCCTGTCCTCCATTTTCTATACCTTTCATTCTAGAATGCATATGAGATGATTTATAGATACATAAAGAAGGAAGGAAGGATACATTTTTGCATTTCCTCCTCCATGTGTCATCTCATATACCAATTTGGCATCAAAATACAAATCCCTTGGCTACTAAGTCCAGAAACTGCCCCCAGCATACCTTGGCTTCATTTCATCCTCTTAGAATTCTGGTTTGCGGGCCGGCCCAGTGGCACACTGCTACAGTGCGCCGCTTGGGAGTGTGGCAGTGCTCCCGCCAAGGGTTCGGATCCCACATACAGACCAGTTCCCGCTCACTGGCTGAGCGAGGTGCGGGTGCAACCCTGAGGGGTGCGATCCCGTTGCCGGTCCCGGTCCGGTACGGGCGCGACACTGAGGATTGCGATCCATTGCCGGACACGAAAAAAAAGACAAAAAGGAAAAAAAAAAAAAAGAATTCTGGTTTGCAATCACCACTGCTCAGAGTTTCATCTGGTATTCAGTTNGGTCCCGGTCCGGTACGGGCGCGACACTGAGGATTGCGATCCATTGCCGGACACGAAAAAAAAGACAAAAAGGAAAAAAAAAAAAAAGAATTCTGGTTTGCAATCACCACTGCTCAGAGTTTCATCTGGTATTCAGTTGCTTTACTCTGGGCCCCTGGGGATTTCTCATACTTTCTTACAAGCTCAGCTATGCATTTAAAATAATATTTGTCATGTTTTATAGAAGACTTCTGGGTGATTTTTAGTGTAAATATCTTCAGATTATCTAGTTTGTAATATTTCAGGAAATGGAAATAGAGACTTTATTCTTCAAAAAACATTTAATTATATTAATAAGTTTGAACCACAGGCACAGTTCTTGAAATTTTTAGAAATATGTATGCTACTAGGGCTGAATCAAACACTGCTATTTATTTGACTTGTTATTAAATAGAAGAGTCAATTATTCAAGACCCACTCTCTGTACATCTCATTAATTAACATTTTACTTTAATATTTCAACTCTCTTGAAACTTTTGAACTGTTTGAGTAGTTTAAAGCAATTTTATTGTTTGCTTTTTCTGGTTTATTTTTATCATTCTCCTGTCTTGTGATAAATAGGAACAAAAGAAATTTGTATAAGTTAACTAAGGCTAAGCGAGTACAGTTAAGGTGGTGTGAACAAACCTCGATTCTTTTCAGATAGGCATTCTAGAAGCAAACACTCTTTCAGATCCATTATATCTGATCCTAAATTAGATCACCTTTTATTTAAATGGTTTTATAAAAACTGTGCTTTTAGTATGATCTGATAGTTTTGAAGCCCAGTTTTAAAATTCACCACTCCTGCCAACCTTTCTTTTATGTATTTGTGTACTTTAGGGTCTTTCTCATTTTAATGCATGTATAACATTGATGCCAGTTATTATATCAACTGTAGCCCACAATTGTTTCCTGGCAGTCCTAAGGTTTTTGTTTTTGCCTTCCCAACATATATATAAAGTCCTTCAGAGCAAGAACAGCAGCCAGGATTCTCCCTCATGATTTCTCACCACAGAGCTGGTGCACTTTGTTGCCAAATTCAAATAAATAAAGTGAAAGAAAAGACATGTTTGCCTGAGTAACAGCTGTATCTGAAACAGAAATTTCACATGCCAATAAATGATAGGAGACTAAGGCAATAAAATGTTTATGAAACTATCCAAGTCCCTGGTGTTTAATCATAATT